AACCAACAGATATATTGTGCCTCTCGCCAACCCCTCTGTTGTACCCAATAGGACATCATTGAACTGGGTCTGCAATGTTGCCATGCTGCTCTTTCACTATGAACATCTGCAGACTTACAGCAAGCTATATTAGAACATACAAGAACCTTGCTGTGCTATCATTCGCGCCACGTTTGAAAAAATGCTTTCTTCACCAGTTGATCCGATCTTTCCATTCGCCTGTCCGTTTCATTCTCATTCTTTCCCGGCACTGGGGGAAAACACCGGACAATCACCCGCCGCAATGCCGCGCAGAATAACCGCGATGCCGCGCCCAATCCGCAGGTCGCAGGGACTTCGCCGGGCGATTTGTTTGGTCGCGCCTTGCTGGGACGGGCGGGCGGCTCGGAACTCCGGAGGGTCGGTGTGGTTCTCCCCTTTTGGTCTTCACCGCGGAGCGTTTGGTTGCTTTTGGACGGTTTACGAGCTTTCACGAGCTTTGACACTGAGATGAGTGGCTTTGACATGGTGCCACGCCGCATATTTTTTGGGGAACATGTCCTGTACAAAGGATTCTGGGACGGCATGATGCATGACTTGTTTGATAAGAGGGGTGGCTTATATTTCTGCAATTGAGTACAAATAGAAAAAGCAACTGTCGGGGTTGAGAGATCTAAAGTCTTTTCAGCAACTTGCAGTCATGCCAAGAAGAACTTCCCAAATCTTCCTGTCTGGTCAGTGGACATTCCTGGTGTGGAGCATGGAGAAGGGCCGACACTATAGTTACTATACACTGTATAAAGAAAAAGAGCCCTTTGGTCGACAGTCCCTTTGACCGTTGACCTTGGAAAGAACGAGTAGTTGTTTCTGCTCCACCCGAGTAACTCATTGGTTTATAGAGTCGGGTGGACCAATCCACCACGGACACGACACCAGCTCCGCGCCGGGTCAGACCGTCGCGGGTCAACGCGTCTGACAGACGCGTCTCAGGATTCCTCACAAGGCTTGCGCCGGCAAGACGAACGCTTGTGGGAGGCGAACGCATCCACCGCACCGGAGGGAGGCCGCAAGGTTTGGTGGTTTGTTATTTCCCCTATGTTCCACGTGGCCTAAGCAAGGCAAATCCACGGAGGGAGGGACAAAGATCGTGGACCGGTGGGGAGACTGGGAGCAATCCTGAAAGTGTGAAGGGTGTGAGGGATGGACGGTAGTTGAAGTGGCTCCAGCAATAAATCGAAACAGAGTTGCTAATGTGACAGCTTTAGTATCTAAAGTCCAGACTATAACAGACTATATATATATATATCCAAGGTGACCACTGTCGTAGATGTTGACGATCATGGGACCCCGGTGTGAGAAGCTACCGATCGTCTTTTGGCTTCGCTTCTTTTCCTCAGTCCCTGTTCTGCCGCCCTACAAAGGAGCTGACCTGGTTGACCTAGAGTGTGAAAGACGCAAGAATGTTCCATCTCCTTCAACTCATGACAAGAATGTTCCATCGCACCAGTTCGCGCCCAGCGCCTCGTTCAGGTCTCCTTCACCTGATCCCAAAAAACCTTCGAAAGAAGCCAAGCCGACGGACTCGTCATGGAGCGAAGAACAATCTCAGTCAGTGGATGATTTCACCATATTTCACCCTAGGGCTCCAAACATATCCTCAAGGTGGTTAGGCCATGTTAGACCCCCGAACCCCCCCCATCTTCTCAGCAGGTAGTTGGAGCCCAAACGGGTCTTTGACCGCACCTTTGGGGGGGCTCAGTGGAAAGTTCGCAGCTGGATGGGGGTGAATAATAGGTGGATGGGGTTCCGAAACGGGGAAGCTTGATTCTTCGATACACATCGGCATCAAGAAAACATCGGCACGTGTCAGAAACCCACACCCAAGGAGTTGGTTTGACGTTTCGGCGGTCCAAAGGGATTCACACTCTGCCTGGCGGGTGCCTGGCGATCTCCGGTTTGGGAATAGGTGATCGAGGGTGCTGGTTGTGTTTGTGCCGCCCATCAAATTAGTAAACAATAGACATTTCAATACATTTCAATATACTTTAGTTACTAATTGTACTAAGTATACACTTCAAAACCAGGTCAACCTTTCTTGTAGTGGTCTTGGAGTTCTAGGGCTACTGTGTAGAATGGCCTATAGAACTACTTGTTTTGAAGATGTGTCATTTCCTTGAAACTCCTCCAATCGATCACGCCGTGCTCGATGCGAGTTCTCGATCGTCAGACCGTGATGGAGAGCGGCCGACAGATGATGGTGGTGCTCACCAAGGCAAATTCGGTGGTGAAGAGACGGAATTCCAACCATAAGGGGCAAGCGCTGTACCATACTTGTAGCACCCAGCCAGTGATCCGAGGGGCAAGCGCTTTTGGGGCGAGCTTGGGGCTGGTGTCACCTGAACAATTAACCCGAGAAGCACAATTTGAGGCTGGAATCCATCAAACAACATCTCGAGTTTTGAAATGATGTGACATCAAGACTGTGAGTCAAGATAGGTAGATACCAGAATTGCAAAAAATAAATAGATATTTGCACTTGTTTTTCTGGAGGATGTTTATGGGCTGTTTTCGTTGTCCGTTGTAGGTTGCCGCTCCCTGGCTTGGGCCGTGGATGTTGTGATGTTTGAAGTATGGGGGAGCTCTGAAAGCCTGCATCCCTGGTGTTTACAAATAGCGCAAAGTTATTTTCTTGTGCCTGATCACTGAACATGACTGGAATTGATATGCCGGTATGCCCTGTCGGCCTTGTGATCATGGATCTGAAGAGTGTTGCTCAGGATCATTGGGCAAGGAAAGCTTGTTTAAGGACAATTTGATAATTGTGCAAATTCCTTCCCCGGCATCACTTAAGATATTTCAGAAATACTTAAGTTTATCAGCATGGTTTTAGTAGAAGTGAAACATCCCATCTTTCGAAGATAGTGCAGAGTTCGCCAATCAAGCGGAGCAGTACTTGCACTTCACTGCACATGCCAACTCAATCAACAAACATCAACCCTTTGTAAGGCAAGCACTGTAGATGAGACAACTGTAGTTGACTGTTGACAACATTACACCTGATTGATGTTTGTTCAATCACAGGGTTTTGGAGATGTGTCTCCAAACAGGAGGTAGATGTATTAAAGTTGGCAGATGTATCTGCCATCGTCCATGTGGATAGTTGTTTCAACCTGTCCGTTGATATCCAGGGGCTTTTTCTTCTTGATCAATCTTGTTTTGTTCAATCTTGCTGATTGATCAAAAGAAGGATTGGTTGATCAAGATCGATTCTGGTTGATCAGTCTTGGAAAACTGAAGACCTTCTTGATCAAGAAGGCCACACGCTCCACGCCCCTTCTGCAAGTCACCCGTCCTGCCCTGCGGACCCGCACCAGGCTGACAAGTGTCATCCAGTGGACCTACACAAGAATGTGGCGGAGGCCAGGATTCCCCACACTTGCCGTCAAAAGGGGTCCAAATAAAGGTGTCACTCCATGGTGTTCAACATTTTTCAAATAAAGGTGTCCTGTAGATTTTCGCTTGAACTGTGGTGGAGGCTCCTGGACCCTGAACACCCTCTTGGGGCCTGGCCGGGACCAGCACACGGTGCTTTTTGGACTTCGCAGCCGCCGTTGGTGGGACGAAGCCGCCGTGGAGAGCCGCAGTGGCGAGCCGATCGGATCAGCGCGACCTGGGAGAAGTTGAGCAGTTGGAGGGGGTTCCTGGCGTGAAGAAGTTGGATTGCCAAAGGAAGATGTCAGTAAAACTGGTGCATGTGATGTCCTTCTTGATCTTGTCAGGATCAGTTGTTGGAGTTATTTTGTGGCTGGACCATTCATTTGCAGTTGATTTCCTATACTCGTACTTGTAGAAGCTATATATATATAGAAGGGGGTTCTGAGTGACACAGGTGACATCTTTGATGGAAGGTTTTGGAATCATCAGCTCAACTCGTGTTTCAGACTTGATAGCGTCCTTGTTACTAGTAGCTATTTGCTCCTAGTAGTAATACCCTTTCTACTAGTAGTGATGCCCTTGTTCCCAGTAGTAATGCCAGGAGCGCCCCGTCCTTGCCGCGTCCGAACGCCATGTCAGATGAACTCGTCTTCACCAGCATCGCCTCTTCCTCAGCCTCTCGGACCGCTCCACTCCAGGTGCTGGCCGCCCTGCAGCACTTGGACCAGGAGCTCATTTGGCCGTGCGCCGCAGCACGGCAAGACGCCGGAGACGCTGGTATACCGGTGGCCGCACGTGAGACAAATCACAGACCGCACGTATCCCAGAGTATCCAGGTTTTCTGTGTATACATGACTCTATGACTCTATGACCTAGCTATACATTCATTTACCCTACATTTCATTCACCGCCCAAAACCTCTTAAATGTAGGCGAAAAAGCTTGCGCCGGTAGACCGGTCGACCGCATGGTTCCATGGCGCCACGACGACACGGGCAGCCGAAAACAAGGATTGCAACAGGACGTGGATCCTGTGTTTATGGTGGAACTCTGTCCGAATTCCCCTTTTGGCATAGTGAAACACTAACACAAGCATGATCAGATCAGGGCTTGATTGGTTGTTTTCAGATCATGTGAGTGTTCTTTTGTTGGGTTCGTTCCGAGTTCTGAAGGAACATGAGGTGATTAAGTAAGCCATGTATGCAAGTAAACACGCAATCATGCTATATACTCATTGAACTCCCTCGAAGCGACCAATGATCATGAAAAATGAGACGATCGAACATACAGCTGACAAAATACCTACCAGAAGCCCTTCCAGAACGCATGCACACACCACTTGCCCCTTCCCCTTTTCACATCCAAGACATGTTGTTTATTCGACAAACCACCCTGCCCACCGGACACACCGGAAAGGGAAAAACAAACAAACAAACAGACCATGCAAACCATGGAGACTGACCGAACAGAAATTATCCCGGCAAGAGACCCCAAACAGTGTGTGTGAGGTCTACAAGCAGAAAGTCTAGAGATCTAGACGCATTGGGGTCCAGAGAGGTGATGGTGGTGATGAAGGTGGGGATCGTGGTGACGGTGGCGATGGTGGTGAGTGAGTGAGTGAGTGAGTGAGTGAGTGAGTGAGTGAGTGAGTGAGTGAGTGAGTGAGTGAGTGAGTGAGTGAGTGAGTGAGTGAGTGAGTGAGTGAGAG